CACTGATTGGCTCCGGGGGGACACTGGGTGCTCCCCCCAGACCCAAGAGGCACCAATCATTAAGCTGGGGGGTAGGGGGCGTGTTCCCCGTGTGCTCTCTCGTGGACCTGTAAGTGAACTGGAAGTGCTTCTGGTTCACTTCCAGGTCCCATGCCAAGTGCGCTGGGACTCCCCTGTGCTATCCATGGGATGCTCCATCCACCCCACCATCTCAGTGTTCATGAGCCACCTGGTACCTTGAGTTATGTAGAAAAAACATTTAAAGCTGTGTCTATGTCTGAATCATCGAATCTCTTTGAATCTCTCTGGAAGGTTCTGATTCGATTCAGAGAGATTAAAGGGTCTTCTGATTCAATTTGGATTCGGAGATTCAGCCACTGAATCGGGCCAAATTGAATCACTGACCAAAGCTTTGCACAGCCCTACTACATACTACCCCATTCACACAGCCTGCAGCAAAACTTCAGTCTTGCTCTCAGGAGAGAAGGCAGGCACTCACTGAATCACCAGTGCTATTTCCTGTGCTGCTTTGAGTTTGTCTTGAGGAGCCTCCCTTTCAGCTATTAACTGAGCATGGTTCTTGCAATCTGAACTGAATTGTATTTTTCCTATTGTGAAGATTTCTTATCGGACAACATGATTCAACATTCAAAGACTTCTAATGCTATATATTTACTATGTCCATTTAAGTGATTTCAAATGCTAGTGGAAGATGTTAGATTAAGAACACCGGGAAACAAAGTCCTATTCCCCAAAAGCAACACAACACAGACAGAACCAGGCCCATTGTCCCCCTCCTCACCTTGTGCATCAATTATATTTTGGCAAGACTACCTCTGAAAGGGAGAAAGTGGCTCAGTCTCTACAATGAGTTAGCCTTTGGGCACTGTGATGAAACCACCAAGAACGATAAGAGTTGAACCTGCACGTGAACTCCCAGTAAAACGTAAGTGCTAAGCATCCCTCAGAAAAAAAAGGTTAAATTGTAATGGCAGTGATATTTTGGTCAAATATATCAAGAAAAAGTACCATATTTACTTGAATCTATGATGAGGTCCCCGACCCCCACCTGCCCCATCAGTATGAGGAGAAAAGCTCCTCATCTTAGGTTTGTGTGGGGACCACGCCACTGCTGTGGCTCTCACTCTGACCCTGAGCCTGAACTGGGGCCAGTCAGACCCACAGCAGACTCCTGCCCTGCCCTTCACTTTTCCTTTCCAGCTTTTGCACCCCCTCCCACCTCCTTCCCCCCTGCCATTACTGTCAGGTGCAGTTCAGCTCTGGCTTGGGCTGGATTCCCTCCTGGGCATGGAGCACAATGAAACTCCATCCCCTGCCCGGCCAATCAGCAGCACCAACTTTGCTGTACGGCCCATCTAGGGCTATGCCTCCATATGCTGTGCTCCAGGGAGGGGATTGAGTCTGAGCAGTGACAGTAAAGAATGGGGGGGGGGGGGGAAAGGGGAAGGG